TTGGGTAGTTGCTTAGTAGCTACTGTACACAGTTCACTTTACATGAGGGAACATAAATGGTGAGTTACGGTTAGGTAATCATGAAGTCACGAGGGGTTATTGAGTAACTTCTCTGTGTGAGGAGTTGCTACATGATGATGCATAAAAAAGTGTAACTAATTATGAATGCCTCAGTAATGAAGGACCAGAGTTAACCAGAAATACTTATGAACAACTTAGGATGTTTCATGGATTTAATAATTACATTTTCAAACTAACAATAATGCCAGTATCACTGGAACAGTATTTCCCAGTCAGTTCTCTATAACTAATCATTATCTGCTCGGGTTAAGATGTATTTAGGAATTATATTTACAACTAAATTTGATTATTCTAACTCCAAATTATAATGCAAGATATTTAAGGCCACTTTAGATACTAAGTGCCCCAAGAGTATTTTAAAAAATACTCCACTAATATTAAGATTGTAACGCTGCTGCTGTATTTTAGTGACTCTACTGTGAATCTGAAAAATAAAACTCATTCAGATGTGAATTAGTCTTTTATTGTGGCACAAGGTTTCATTACAACACTTGTGTTTTCTTTCAGCAGCATTTGCAGGAGCTTTTAGTTCCCAGTAAGGATCACACCGTCACATTTCATAAGCTGGTTTGCATTAAACAAATGCATAAAGATGTTACTGGTCTTAGCCATATTGCAGCAGCCCTGGAGCCACTGGCAGTTAGAAGTGTAATGCTGGTAGTCAGTCACCGTCACACATTTCAAAAGCTGCCATGTCGTTACAGTCAAGATAACTGTCACATCTAATGTGTGTAACATAGCAACAGCCCTAAAACATGTAATTACAACAGTCAAACCCATTGTAACAAAAACTTACCCATCTTTTTAACCTCCCCAAACTGGGCACTTGCAAAGATGATACTGTATATAGTTCTTACAAAGGGATCAACCTTCTGTAGATTTCAAAACCTTCTTTTTTTGTTCCAGGCCAAAAAAAGCTGGGTGTTAAAATTGACGTCTATAGGGCGTGTTCAGTTGGCTTCACTCTGTTAGCTGCAGAGGTTACTGCTTGTAAATCTTACACACTTATTTCATAACAATTTAAATAGAAATATATTTCAATAAATTATAGAACAGGTAAAGGTCCTCCAGACCCAAATAAGTTATTATGATGTTTTTAAATCTTCAAAGGCTTCGATGTGGTGCAGCAGAAAAAAAAAACCTCTTCTCAGGAAACACTCAATGCAAGCTGAAGTGTCATTATCCAGACGGTCTAATAGCCACAGCTTCAACTATGAAAGCATTACTGAATAAACTGTTCTTTCTTAGGAAGAAGATGATGTGTAGTTACATGGACAGCAGTGTCAAATAAAAAGAAAAAAAACAAACACTATCCAAAATTCCAGCTCAGGTACTTTCATACATCCTTGTTTTGCTCTTAATATAACTGTAACTTGCTGATTTAACAAAACAAAACAAAAATAGTAAGAACTCTTAATTATATCCAAAAGTTGCAACTTAGTCAGATTAATATTACTGTTTGGTGTTTAGAGAAGATTACACTTTAAATCACTTGAAATGCCAACACACAGTTTTTTTTAAGCCACTAAAGGGGGGTAATCACACACACTGTTACGCCCACTCACATCCATTAAGGAGCTCAGTCGGTCACAGTCACAGTGAGGTTACAAAAGCTTCTGGTGAACACAATTACCCCAACCACACGCACACACACATGCACAGGAAGGCAAAATGAAGGCAATGTGGAAGAGTGCTTCTGTCATGGCTGTGTGAAGGCAGACAGGGATGGTGGACCCAAGAGCAGGACTCACGGAGGCAGACGTAAACTCAAAACACTCAGCTTTATTGCTGCATTGCATCGGAACAGAAAACTAACTGAACTGAGAATGCAAAACAAAGTGAACAGGCAGGCGAGCTAGCAAACGGAACACACAGTGTAAGATGAGGGACGACGCGATGACGAGCAGGGGAAGAGGTGAACAGGACTAAGGGGAAACAGCTGGGAGACGCGGCTGACACTGATTACACAGATGAGACAGAGGACCACACAAAACTGAAAACACTGACATAAGACACAGACCTTCAAAGTAAAGCAGGGAGCTCAACGCACACGCAGAGACACAGACTCGAAACTGACAGAACAGGAATAGAGGGAGTAACGAACCGAAAACTAACAAATGGCAAATCTTAACAAAAGACCAGAATAAACAAGAACATAAGATAATGTTAACAAACACAAAACACTGAGTCATTAGACTCAGGACCGTGACAGCTTCTATTTTAAACAATCACATTCTAGTTTTTCAATAGTCTACTATAAAACCAGCAGATAGTTTTATAATCTCTATGCTCACCTTTTGTCAGTTGCTTTATCATTTTGGACAAGCCAGAAGGAGAGGACATCATTTTCTCAATAAATCTAAAAACCAAGTAAATTGTGAGCCAGTGGTTTGATGTGTTGTTATTTTGATGACTAATCTACAGAGAACACTGTACTTGTTTTTATTCAGCTTCATTAATTAAGAAGAACTTTGTTCCTAAAATGAATCATTCAGATAGTGACCACTCACCACCTGGACGTATCAATGTCAGAAAACTTGTGTTAATTGCATCACTGTCTCAGATCCAACAGTCACCATCCAAAGCACCCAGAGGCTGAAAGGTAACATGGATCTGAGGACACAGTCTGAAAAAATGTGTCTGCATGTATCGTCTCTCTTATATAATTCTCTTTATTTATTTACTCAGCTTTCTCTGACGTATTGTTGGGGTCATTCTGAAGCAGTCATCTATAACAGATGTTTGATGGTTGTCACTGTCCTTAAATGCCAGCACTTCCTGACTCCAGGAGCCACTAAATAAATAGAATGAATCTATTTTACATTTACTGTCCTGAGAAATACTTTACAGCATCTTTATTTCCTGGCAACTACACAGTGCCTCCATCTGTCTGACTAGCCTAGTGACAGTATTGTTACAGTAGCATAGTTTGCAAAGCACATTGAGAGATTATGCGTCAGTATCTATACAGAACCTATACACAGCACATCTATTTCTAAGTATTTTCTGTCTTAATAAAGACAGAAAACATAAGGGGATGACGGTGAGCAATTGTGCTGATGCTATTTGGAGATTTTCAGTTAAACTAGCTGATTCATTATAGAAACTATTCAGTCCTTTCTCTCTACAGGCGAATGCATTAGTAAAGGTGCTACATAGATGATGTGCCTATAAAATAAAAAGCTTATGCCTGTAATAACGACAGATGGCTAGGAAGCTGTGCTTCAAGAACAATGAAAGGTTACACTCAATCCTTCTTATTAAAAGCAGAACATTCTTAAATTTTCTATTGAGAACCTGTTATATTTCCTCTTTGAAAAAAGGTTTTGGATCTAAAGTACTCGAGCTCTGAACAGACAGTGTGTTGTTGGGTGATACAGAGGTGTAAGAACCACACAAGCATTTAAGAAAGACCTTCTAAAGGCAAATCTCAAAATTTGGTAGCCATCTTGGAACGAATCTGGGCAAATATTTGGAGGTAACACATTTAATACCAATGTGCCAGCAGCACATAAAAACTGTATCTGATGAAAAGAGAAAAATGCTTTACAGTTTCATAAGTTTGCCCAAAACAGTTGTAAAAAGTATTTCCTACAAGTTATAATTCTACTATGTAAAGTTTTAAGACCTTTTTCCTAAAAGGCTCAGTCCACTGTATGAAGCCTATGCTAACTCAAACTCTGATTCAGTAACCCAAGAAGACACTGTACTCTGGGGTTGAGCAGATGACCATATGCTACATGGTCACTATAGCAGCATGGGTTTGAGTCTGGCCCAAGGCCCTTTACAGTGTTTTTCTTCCTCTGTGCTCTGTCTCCTATTTGCTGCTGTCCAATGATGGTGAAAAGAACCTTAAAAAGCTGTGCTCTTATTTTGGTTGCTGTGTAGTTTAGTAGAAAGGAAAATAGTTCAGATCGGCTGATCTGTATGGCAGCCCACATCAACTATTGCCTTGGCTGATATTCTTTGTGTCAAAAAGGAAACTCATTATAGGTTGTGCTGCTCAAGCTGCTTTAACCTACAAGTCCTTCAAATCTGCAAGCCGCTTTGCAACCCAGCTCCAGCCCAGCTCCTCATTTCTTGCTGTTTGCGACTTAATCAGTGTCACACCTGTTGTCTTTGATGCCTGCTCTGATCTGCCTGCTGATTTCCTCTCTCCGGTTTCAAATATATCAATGTCACTGTCAAATAAATATACATATAAAATATATATATATAAATTATATTATATATAATTTATATAAATTATATATAATTAAGTCACACATGTGTTTTGGAGTGCTTTTCCCATTTAAGCCCCCACTTATCTTTAAATTTGCACACGGAAAATAAATCCAAAATTAAGTCCACAGCACCTCCACAACTGTGAGCCCAAAAGTAACAACTTTAAGATACTCAAGAGATCTTTTGAAGTACAGCAAATCGTGTCCTAATTAGTTAGTTAAAAACCCACTGACTCTTTTTTACTATTCATGTAAAAACAGTAAAAAACAAAAAAACCCATAAACAACAGCCTTAACTGTGAGTTGGTGGCATCATTGAATCTGTTTGAAAAACACTTAATGCAAACAAAATGTATACACCAGAATGGAAGCACAACAACTACTCCATCCACTTCACTCATAGTAGTGTCAGCCTTGGAGCAAATGGTTGTGGTGATGTTAGTGAGGGAATCTGAAGATGTTTTGCAGGTGAATCATACACAGTTGCACACATTTCAATCTCAGGGCCAGCTCGAAGAAGCTGGCTAAACATTTTGCCATAGCGTTTTTGTCCTTGTTCTTTGATGCTGCCTGCTTCTATGTTGAAGTTTCTGAAATCTGAATCTTTTAAATTATTTATCTTGAGCGTAGAAAGCATATCACCACTTGCTTTCAACAGCTTCTGGCTTCTTGCATCCTCCTTCACCTTTGACTCACCTTGCATGCAAAACTTGAGCTCTTTGGCATCTGTGACTGTGCTGGCCGGCATCCTGTCAGGAACCTTCTTGCTCATGCGGTTATAGTTCCTCCTCTTCTTGGTCTCCCCCCACAGGTTGGAGCCGCCATGCATACTGGGAATGTTGAGCACAGCGATGCCTTCTAAGGACGTGTTGCTGAGGTCTAAAATGATCCCATCACACTGAGGAGGCAACAAAGGACGTAATCGGTTTAAAAACAGATGAAAAGATTTCATGGCATGCTTATGACAGACACGTAAGGACACAAAAGTCTAACTATTCAGCTTTGTTCTTCTGTATTTCATTTAAGCTGTAGAATGACTAACACCAGGGTATTTATTAATATGCAATGCAGCCTTATCCCAACAGCCATCCATAATGCATGGAGTTCATCTGTGCAGAGATATAGTAATGATGCTACAACTGGAAATATGCATTTGAAATGTTTTCAGTGTGTTTTACTGTCAAAAGGCCTTCTCCATACCTTTTCAATGTGCACAGTAATTATCAGGACATAGTCAGGCCCCTCCATATCCTAAAGACCTTATAGTACCTTATTACCCCAACAGAGCACTTGGCTCCCAGACTGCAGGCTGATTCATGGTTCCTAGACTGCCTCAAAGTAGAATGAGAGGCGGAGCCTTCAGCTTCTGCTGAGTTCCCTCTCCTGTGGATCTAGTTCCAAGTTTGGATTCAGGAAACAGACAACATCTCTACTTTTAAGATCAGACTTAAAACATTCCTTTTTAAAAAGCTTATAGTAAGAGTTGGATCAGGCAACTGCTGTTTCCTTCAGGCAATATGCCTTCAGCTTATTCAGCTCTGGCTCTCTTTCACAGTATTCCACAGTTTCTTCCTTTTAAAAGGGAGGTTTTTCTTCCCACTGTCATCAAGTGCTTGGTCATAGGGACTTGTCTGAATTTTGGGGTTTCTGTACTGTGATATTTGAGATGACTGTTATTGTGAATTGCTACTATACATATGTATACTGATATATATATATGTACTGAATAAATCAATAACGTGTTTTATTTGAAACTTGTTAACATGTTAAGCTGATCTACACTGAGTTAAAAGGTCACAGATGCTTTAAATTGCCAGCCTCAGCGTGTAAAAGAATAAGAGAGTGATAAATAGAGTGGGTTGTTATGACTACGAGATTTATTCTGTCCTGATTCATCACGTGGACAGCGGCCAAGTGTACTGTTGTGTGATGTAACAATAAAACACAATAAGTTGGCCTACTGTCTATACATATTGAGAGGAATTAACTGATAGAAAGCCATTCCATTTGGCACTCCTGAGCCTCACTCTAATTTATGTATCTAACATCATCTAGATTCAGCAAATAATTCACCCTATGTCAACAACACATTGCTGTGACTCAGCAAGCACGGCTGAGCAGTGCTGAGTCAAAGCAGCCACACATGTTGGACTTCACTGTGTGCCTAAGGCATGCAAAGACAACACAGACGTGCTATCACCTAGCGTGTGAGTGTAAAACTGTGGAGCACATGTGGAACCTGATACAAGTGTACATACACACTGATGAGTGCAGAAACAACATAGCTGACTGCAAAACTCTTCACTCCTCTCATTATGAGTAACATTCACATCTTAAAAAGTTATAATCACCCTAAATGGCTTTACCAGTGAGTATGAGTGCATCTCTTTAAAGGTGACCTACTCTGTTCATCTCCAGCTCTATATTTTTATTCCTGGACTCTACTAAAGTAGCTATGCATGACTCACAGTTCAATTAACTATATTGATTGAAGTACTCCATTTAGTAATCATTTATGTATTTCTGTTGTAGGATACATAATATTCTACTACTTGTCTTTTACACTTTTGAATCAGTGGCAATGACATTGACCAAACAACCCAGCAAGTTTTATCCCAGTCTTTGGCTGTTTCCAAAATATGTCATCATAGACAGCTGTAGATCTGCAATTCAGTTCAATTCAATGTAATTTTATAGCGCCAAAATACAGCAACAGTTGCCTCAAAGTGCTTTATATTGTAAGGTAAAGATGCTACAATAATACAGGGAAAACAGAGAAAACCAACTGTGAGCAAGCGTTTTGGTGACAGCAGGATGGAAAAACTCCCTTTTAACATGATGAAACTTCTGGCTTAACCCTTTTCCGATTGAGGACCATGGCCACAGAGTTGGACATGCTGATTCTCGTTCCTGCTGCTTCACACTCAGCTATGAACTGTTCCAGTGTGAGCTGGAGGGCACCACCTAATGAAGCCATCAGAACCACATCATCTACATGAGCCAAGATTCTGAGACCGCTCAAGTGGAAGCCTTACATCATTAGGCAATGCCTAGAATTACTGTTGCTAGAAATTCTGAACAGAATCAGTGATAAAGGGCAGCATTGGTAGAGTCCAACACCCACCAGGAATAAGCCTGACTTATTGCTGCCTATACAGACCAAGCTTTTGCAATGGTTGTATAAGGATCGAATGGATTGTAGCAACGGACCATAGCGCGGCTGAACTGCTCCGCTATACAGCCGCTCCCGTCGCCGGCGGAGCTCCACTACCACCCAGGCATCACTTTCCAGCCTCGCCGGAGATACATCCATCGCGGGTCCCGCAGGATTTTCCAGACCAGAAACTAAATCGTTCTGGTCTGCTGCTCGCTGCCCTCGCAGGAACCCTGATCGGGCTGTCAACCATCGATCTCTAGCCCACCTGCCCAGGGCGCCCACCGCGATTAGCAAAAAAGAAGATACTCCACTCAACTTCGGTCTTCTAAACATTCGTTCATTGACAAGTAAGGGACCTCTCATCCAAAACCTCCTATCTGACCGTAAGTTTGACTTTTTCTGCTTAACTGAAACCTGGCAACAACCTGATGACTTTTCTCAGCTAAACGAATCTGCTCCTCTGGGGTTTGTTTACTTTTCTAAACCCCGCTGCTCAGGTCGTGGGGGTGGTCTCGCGATCCTTTTTTGCCAGCACTTGAAAGTCCTGCCAGTTAAGGTTGATACCTTTAGTTCTCTAGAGGTCCTTGCATGTGAGCTGACTGGACCCATTCCCACCATCATAGCTACTGTATACCGCCCTCCCAAACCTAACCCTGTCTTCCTCAGTGACTTTGCTAATCTACTAACCCATCTTTCATCTCTCTCCCCAAATGTGATCTTGGTGGGAGATTTCAACATTCACATGGACAATAACGACCTTCTGCTCACCAGAGACTTTTCCTCCTGTCTCGAAGGCTCTGAATTTAAACAATTTATCGACTTTCCTACTCACTCTAAAGGACACACCCTGGACTTGGTCTGCTGTTCTGGTCTTACTCCCTCGAATCTTTCTGCTACTGAAATCCCCATAACTGACCACTTCCTCCTTTCATTTAATCTCACTCTCTGCTGCTCTTCTACCAAGCCAACCCGTCTCATCTCGTTCCGCAACATCAAGAACATTGATATGGACATTCTCACTACCAGTTTACGGACAATGTTCAGATTCCGGACTTCTATTCTACTCCTGATGATTTGTTGTTATATTATAATAATTGTCTATGCACTGTCTTTAATTCTCTGGCTCCTGTAAAAACCCACTCTGTTTCCTTCGCTCGCTCTGCTCCCTGGTTTACCTCTGACCTCCGAGCTCTGAAGGCCAAAGCTCGGCAGCTAGAGCGTAAATATAAGAAATCTGGTTTAACTATTGATTCAGAAATCTATAAATACCACCTACTTCAGTATAAAGACTCCATTAACAAGGCCAAACAAAGCTTCTACTCTGGTATTATCAGTTCTTATGAGAGTAATGCAAGGACTCTGTTTTCAGTTCTCAACAAACTAATTCAACCCCCCAATGCTTTACCACCGCACTTCTATTCCTCTGAAACCTGCAACTCCTTGATGCTGTTCTGGACTACAAAAATCAATAACATCCACCAGCAACTCAGATCAAATGCTGTGTCTACGCCCTCTCCAGAACCTTTTCTCCTTTTTGAGCCATTTTCCACTTTTCATCTTCCTGATTTATCTGATATTTCCGAGTTCATATGTAAATCAAAGCCTGCCACATGTCATCTTGACCCCATGCCCACGGGGCTTGTGAAATCCTGCCTCTCTTCTTTACTCCCACTCATTTCTGCTATCATTCACTCTTCTCTCACCACCGGTATCGTTCCTTCCTTATTGAAGACTGCTCTAGTCACTCCTATACTGAAAAAACCTTCTTTAGATCCTAACAACTTTAACAACCTCCGTCCGATTTCCAATCTACCCTTCATTTCTAAGATACTCGAAAAAGTGGTTGCAGCTCAACTTCATTTACACCTGGTTAATAATAACATCTACGAGAGATTTCAATCTGGTTTTCGCTCATGTCACAGTACCGAAACTGCTCTACTTAAAGTCACTAACGATCTTCTAATCGGAGCTGACTCTGGTCTTCTCACCATTCTCGTCCTTTTAGATCTGAGCTCAGCCTTTGACACCATTTCTCACTCTGTACTTCTAAGCAGACTTTCTTCTCTCAGCATCTCTGACACACCCCTCGCCTGGTTTCAATCATATCTCCTCGACCGTTCCCAGTTTATTCAACTAAGATCATTCCGCTCTTGTCTATTCCCTGTCACCTCTGGTGTACCCCAAGGCTCGGTTTTAGGCCCTCTTCTCTTTATAATATACATCCTCCCTCTAGGTACCATCTTCCGCAAATTTCAAATTCAAATTCAAATTCAAATTTTATTTGTCACGTACACAGTCATACACAGTACGATATGTAGTGAAATGCTTGGACAACTGCTCGTGACCTAAAGAAAACAAAAAAGGAAAAGGCTATGAATAAGATAGGAAATAAATATGAAAAATTAAAAAGGGTAAATTTAACTAGGAAGGAATAAAATATAAATTAAGGTTAAAAATGAAATAACTGTACAACACAAATTAGAATGAAGGGTAAATTTAACTGGGAAAGAATAAGATAAAATATATAAATTAAAGTTGAAAATAAAATAACTGTACAACAAAATACACAATATAGAACTATATAAGAATGTATGAAGAAATATAAATAAATATATACACAATAACAGCAGCGTGATTTAAGTGATGAAGTGAAAACAATGTCCAGATTGTCCAGTGTGTGTAAGAACTGTATGTGTGGGTCAGTACTGTGTGGTGGTGTGATTGAGAGACCGTATCGCCTG